TATTTCCAGAATGTAGTTCAACAGGATTCTAACAAGATTCCTGATTAAGAAATCTGACTCCCCATCCCTCAGAGGATTGAGTTTAAGATCCTCATCCTTAAAGCCCTCCTACCGTTGCAACCTATTAAACCTTTCCCAATCTGTCTGCTCCCTTCAATCGGCGGGCACTGGCCTGCTCCATGTTCCACGCTCTGCTTCTCCATCATCGGCAGTCTGGCCTCCTCTGAAAGTCCATTCTGCTGCACCTCCACCTCAACCCTCCCTTGCCTCCTTCAAGGCTCGTCTCAAGACCTTCTTCTTTGACTGTGACTTTGGTCATCCTCCTACTTCCACCCCTCTTGACTCCAATCTCCAGCCCAGGTGCAAACCCTTGACTGTTCAGCACCTTGGAACGTCCTCCCGATGTGAAAGGCACTTTATAAATGCAACTTATTGCTGTTGTCAAGAATTATTGTACATTATAATCCATTGGGATTAAGCGGGGTCTCCTTGGAGCTGAACTGGCTCCTAGGTGACATGCCTGGCAACAGAATGTCGGAATTGAGCCAGCCCTCTCTGACAGACTTGATAGTCCAGGTCATGAGCCAGAATGGTCCACAGCACAGCCAGTCTGGCTCATCGGCTGGATCTGGATGGGCAGACCAGTCACTGGGGGTAGGGAGTCATCCCACTCAGCTCCTGTTAACCCTGCAAGCTAAAGCCCTAATGGGTAGGGTGGTCCTAGCTGGACAAGCAGCTGGAAAGCTTGCCAGTCAGCAATATCAATGGCAAGCTATGCATTTTAATCTGGTTAGACACCAGCAGTACCCAATGCACACTCCGGTCCCCAGGCCTTGGCTCTCGTCAACCTGCACCTAACACTTTCCAGAATTAGGTAAGCAGGATGCATCCTTCCAGGAAGAGAGTGCGCATTCCATTCCAACAATCTATGTCTAGGATGTCCATGTGTAGGTGGGATGCATGGAAATCTCAGCTTGGTTTGGATATGCTTAAACTTGGTGATGGGTTTCCGCATGTGTCAGACATGTGTCTGACATCCCCCACCCACAAAAAAAATCCTTTGATTCTATATGATTATCTTTAGTGTGTAATAGGAAAAATATATTTGTTTTTGAAATCTGGACTACAATTTTTTCTATAGATGTACAATTTTTTCTATTCTATATATATTATGCTCAAGCAGACTTTATCTGATTGTCCCAGTATTTATTGTTTGTATGGTACATTGCTGAACAATGCAAAGCATGTGGAGAATGACAATTCTCACACGTCCAGTATTGTATGTTTGTAGTGAAGAAATAAAGGTATTCAATACATTACACAGTACATTGTTGGAGTTATTTTTATGTGCGCATGGTTTCAAGTGTCCCCTAGGGCCAGTATTAGTTAATGCATGAAATGTTATCCTGAGCAACAATGGACTTAGCTATTTACTGCTATAAGCCTTCAACCTTGTTCTGTGGCAAAAAACGTTTGCTGGCAGGTAGCAAAATGCTACCATCATCAGGTTTTTGGCTCAGCAGCTTGCAAACGTGGGATTAACGTGTATACAAAGTGCTGCAACAACTGCCTTTGCCTATCAGTATTACCTTCAGTCTTGTTTCTGGCATGTAAAAAATCCCTTGTTTTTTGTCGGGGATGTAGCTCAGTGGCAGAGCATTTGACTGCAGATCAAGAGGTCTCTGGTTCAAATCCAGGCGTCCCCTTAAGGTGATGTGATTTTTTTTCTCAGACTGTCAATCACAAAATATTTTATGGCTTGGGTATTTGAGATGTCCTGTGGTGTGTAAAATGCTGTACAAATGCAAATCATAGTGTATTGTACCATTGCTTGCTCCATATTCATAAGTATTTATTTACAGAGGATAATCAGGAGTTGGAAATGGTTGCTACAAAGTGTGGCTAAGGCTAGAAAACTACTAAATTAAGAAACATTTTGAGGATGGGAGGGTTGGTATTTCTGGAATGAAGCAGAGAAATCTACAACACAGTAGGAGGCCATTCAACCCATTGTATTAGTGTCGGTGTTTGCTCCACTAATAAAGCCACCTATTCTAATACCAACTCCCTGTTCTTTCCCCATACCCTCTAATAACCTTGCCCCACTTACGCTTATCTAATCCCTTTTCAAATGCTCCGATTGATTCTACACCAACAGCTCCACCTCGCATATCATTCCATCATATTCTGATAACCTTCTCAGAGAAAAGAATCTTGCTCGTTTTCCCTTTCACACTCCTAGTTATAATGTTAAATTAATCCCCTCTCGTCCTCAAATCATCTACCAGCAAAAATAGTTATAAAAATAAAAAGATGAAAGCAAATAGACCTTCTTCATCTCTTGTGATCTTGTAATTTATTATTGATGGGCCCCTTAAAGCATTTTCTGTAAGGTACTTTCTGATTAATTCACTAATTTTAGCCCATTCGTGTTTATGTATATAACTTACATGTTCTCTGCTTGTGCATTTTAGACCTTTCTAATCCTGCCTTTCATCTTGGTTCAATGGAATTGTCTCATAATAAGGCAATTTGGGGCTATTTTGAGAAGGTCAAAGTAATGGTGACAGTAAATACTTTTACCAGTGCAGTGACCAAACAGCCAGTGATACTAAATTTAGATTGTAGCTTGTACATTCGATCGGCCCTTTTATAAATGTTTGACTCCCTGTTCAGTAGGTATATATACTGCACTTTGGGAAGCCAAGTGCTTTGGAATGTCCTTCCAACCTGAAAGACTTTATACAGATGTAAATTGTATTTTATGAGATAGTGTTGTATTTAGCCAAATAGCTCCAAGGTTCAATCCCTGGTCTGTGTCGAGTTTGGTGTTCTCAGCTCGTGGCAAGTGGTGTTACAAGTGACCACATCATTCCCAGGTTCAAGAATGCAAAATTGTTCACGAGGATTGAAAAAACAATTACATGGTAAAACCACAGTAGAATCGGCACCTCACGCTGGAGAAAGCCCAACAGCAAATAATAATAATAATAATCCTTGCATTTGAATTAGCGCTTTTCATGTCTTCTAGACGTCTCAAAGCACTTCACATAATATACTGTAAAGTGAATTGACTGTATATTTGTAGGTGAAAGGCCACAGCCAATTGCGCACAACAGTGTCCCACAAACAGTCATGGATTGAGTGACCAAATTATTATTGTTTTTTTTTCTCGAGGTATTATTATTAGGCATGTGGAATAAGGATTCTTGCCCAATGTTTTTCCCTGCCGGGAATTGAACCCATTGCGAGGCGAGTGCTCTAACGACTGAGCTACAGTACACCTAATGTGAAACTCCTGCAGGAAAGCACATGTATATTATGTTGACTCATGAGAAATCTCCTCCGTGTTGACCTGCAGTCAGCTTGGGAATGAACAAAATTAATAGTGGGCAAAAAGGCAGGGAGGAGTTGTTGGGGCCATGCAAAATGTTCTTTGTTCAAAACCTTCCCAACATGTATTAAAAACTCTGCCGTCCCTTCCACACCAGTACCAAATTGCACACCCCTTTTCTCACTAGTCCTTGCCAGGCTTCACACTGGCTCCATATTGTAGAATGGATCGATTTCAAGCTCCTCACATTCACTTACAGATCACTTCATGTTGGGACAAATCACTTCATCCAGTGCCCTTCTGACGTGAAACACTTTTTACAAATGTATTTTTGTATTTGTATTTATATGTTTCTACCACCTCCCTTCTTCTGCACACACCCCACTCCTCTACCTGCCCCCTTTGTTCAGTTGGCTCCAGCCTTCTGCATGGCCCTTGTTCCCTTCCATTCCATCATCCCCAGCCGTGGTTTAAGCCCCCTACGCCCTGAACTGGAACTCTGCCTTAATCCCTCTGCCTTGCCTCCTGCTTGCATACCTTCAGGTCATACCTGAAGACCTTCCTCTCTGACTGTGCCCACGGTCACCTCCCCTCGAACCCTGGCTCGGTGTCCAGCTCCGCCACTGTTAAGAGCACTGATATGATACCATGTGTGAAGGGCGTGATATAAATGCCAGTTGTTGTATAGAAATAAATACGATATTAGAAGACTTGAGACATTGGACGTTTGGCAAACAAAATATCCTGTAAAAGCTATTTCTGGTAACTTCCTTTTTTAAAGTGTGCACGTAGCTACAATGGTAATCTTCTAATCTCTCCAGGTTGCTTCTGGCTACTGAACATAGCGGCAAATAGGTAGAGTCACAAGGAAAACAAAACCCCAGTTTAGCTTCCTGTGGATCTGAATCCACATTAGAAATGTGCATTGAAATAATCTTATACACTCTTATCTGATCACACATAGGCTGGCTTTAAGGTCACTGTTTGTTCATTTGACCTAGTTGATCTTACCACTGCTACTGTTACACGAAGATGAAAAAACCTGCTATTGTTTTAGGTGAATGCTCAAACCACAATAAAAGAAATACTGAGCCAGTTTACACATAGTTTGAAATGAACTATACCACTGGAGCCTGTGCAACACGAGTTTTTAATTCACCTCTTTCAGTGTATGCTTAGTACATTAACATGATTTGCATGCGTTACATTCCGATCTTTGTGTTGCTCCACTGTTTAGTGTAGAGATGGTTTCATGAACTGGCAGGTTAAGAAAAAATATATTGCTTTAGACTCCTTGAACTGTACTTACCCTCTCATAGCTACTCATTCAGCAACTCTCCGTCTCCAGTACCTTGAATTTCTAGATGGGATTGATTGAAATATGGTGATTTGGCATGAAAACAATCATATATATTATATATATTATATGTAAGTGCTGAGAATAGATTTTTTGGCAGCATGTTTGCTTTCAGAACACAGTGTTTGGCTTTATATTTGGAGGAATAGTATACACAAGTGAAGAGCTCATGTTGAATTGATACAAAACCTTGGTTAGGCCACAAACCTGGGATTAATTTGTATACAAAGTGCTGCAACAACTGCCTTTACCTATTAGTATTATCTTTAGTCTTGTTTCTGGCATATAAAAAAAAATTGTTTTTTTATCGGGGATGTAGCTCAGTGGCAGAGCATTTGACTGCAGATCAAGAGGTCTCTGGTTCAAATCCAGGCGTCTCCTCAAGGTGACGTGATTTTTTTGAAATATTGTGTCCATTTCTGGTCTCCACATTATAAGCAGGATGTAATAGTGATGGAAAAAGTACAGTGTAGGTATATGACATAGGTCCACATCTACACTGTCCACTATCCCAGTCTGTACTGAGGAAAATAATCTCATCCAGGGCAGCAGTTAGAGATACGTTCTTTACTTGTCCTCACCAGAATAGCACCTGGGATCTTAATCATCCACCTCAGCAGGTAGACAGGATCTCTTTGGCATCTCATCTGAAGGAAGGCACCTCCAACAATACTCCCCAAAGCTCCAGTGCTCCCCAAAATACTGCAGTGGAGTGTCAGCCTATACTATGAGCTCAAAGTCCTTGACGTGCAAAAAAGGCTTAAGGGCCTTCAGGAGAGGAAAATGAAGTGAAAAAAGAAGAAAAACATTTCATTAAATAAATTGGGTGTTAACTTCATCACAGAAATAGCACTTGCTGCAACACCACTGTGGTATGTAGTGACTAATCACAGTTGTTATTTCATAAACCCTTTGAGCACACATGTTTTTAAGTAGCACTTATTAACTTTTAACTGTGTTATGACATGCCCGCTCAAACAGCCAAGTTCAATTTTATTAAAGATCGTGAGATCAATTTCAAAGCTATTTACTGACTGCCTGTGGGTGTCAAAAAGTTTTAGTTAACTTAAAAACAATTAATAATAATCCTTGCATTTCATATAGCGTCTTTCATGTCACGTTGTGTTTTACAGATTTTACTGTGAAGTGAAGTATTTTGTAGGCAAACACAGCAGCCATGATATCCCACAAACAGCCATGGAGTGAATGACCAATTTTATCTGTGGGATTATTGGCCAAGATACTGGGATGAACTCCCTTCTTTTATTCAAATAATGCCATGGGATTTTAACGTTTACCTGAACAGGCAGACAGGATCTGGGTTTAGTGTCTCAACCTAAAAATGGCGCCTCCAACAATGCAATACTACTCTATGAGCTCAAAGTCCCAAGATGGGAATTGGACACACAACAGAGGCAGGACTACTACTATCAATTGAGGTAGGCTGACCCATGTGCTCCATAGATTACACATGGGGCATGCATACTCATCATGAAATGCGAATATATTGAAAGAGGATTCTTGTGGAGAACGAGCAAAAACAACTGGTTTGAGTAAATCTGGAAAATCGTTACTTTACAGCACGGTTTATGTTAATATAAAATATTGCTCTGCTATTCTTCTGCTGGGATACACTTCCATGGATATTGGGTTTCCTCATATACATCCAAGGAACACACGACGTGATAAATATTGCATGTATCACTAAATTTACACCCTTACTCCTGGAAGATGAAGGCTCCCATCATAAATAAAGACAAAAACATTCTTTTAAATTGTTCATTTTATTTAACGTTTCACCCCCGTGATCTGACAGTCCCCACATTGTTGTAAAAGGCTTGTAAAAGGGTTATGTGCTACCACTAAAATATAAGTGTATGTTTTACATTGCCCCTGCAGACTATTTGCAGTTCAATAAATGCCAGACTTAATAGAGAGCTTATGGTTTTTTTAAGCAGTCTCTACATAATTTTCAAGTCAATGAAATATTGTCAGCCTAAAGTGTCTAGAGATTAGAGAAGCAGCAATGACTGTAATGCATGTTGTGGCTGACCACAATTCCTCTGTCTCCCACACTGAGCATCACTGAAAAACCCAAAAGCTTTTGAGTAACGTCTTTAAATCTCTTATTTCCCTACTTGGCTTCACTCACTACATTTGTTAAAGTGCTTTGAGATGTTCTGTCATGTGCAAGGTGTTGTATCAACACCAGTCGTTGCTGTTGTTGTTGAAAGGAACATCTTAGAGGAGAAACACTTCCTGTTTACTATTTATATGTGGAGTCCTGTAGCTCAGTGGTTGGAGCACTCGCTTCGCAAGTGAGAGAACTAGGTTCGATTCCAGGCAGCACAAAATGTTGGTCAAGTTTCCTTAATCCACATGCCTCTGTTTACCTAGCAGTAAGTAGGAACCCAGTTGTTGGTCAATTGGCAGATCGCTTTTCTGGGGGTAATAATTCCTTTAAAAAATTGGTCACTCACTCCAAGACTGCTTGTGGGACACTGCTGTGTGCAATTGGCTGCCGCATTTTCGCCCACAAAAATATACAGTTAATTTCACATTACAGTATATTCTGTGAAGGACTTTGAGTCGTTTCAAAGACATGACAAGGTGCTATATCAAATGCAAGAATTATTATTATTATATTTCACAAATTTTAATTCACTTTTATTATTTAAAGGATAATTCCCTCCTAGTTATTATTGCAGATTCCATTCCAACAATCTATCTCTGTGATTTCTATGTGTAGGTGGGATGCCTGGAAAATTCAGTTTTGTTCAGAAACTCTTAAGCATGGTGATGGGTTTCCACATGTTATAATTTCAAATGAAAAGGAAGTGGAGACTTCTGAAGGATGGACTGACTCTGTAGAGACACTCCTGGCAAATGCAGACAGGTGCACAATAATTCAAGGCATTATTAATGGTTAGCCAGCCTGTCTGGCACATCAATGTAGGCATGTCATTAAGCCTGTGAGCCCAAACCCTAATGGTCTGACAGTCCGAGCTGGACAATTGCCATTTGGGTATTTATATCTGAATGGTTGCTGAAAGTACGGAAGTGCTGGAGTATTTGGGATGGATGCCAATCAGACAGTGAAGCCAGAGCCTTTCCATGTCCTCAAATAATCCAGTTCAACAGGTGACTGTAAACTCAATAGTTGAACCTATGTACGTAAGGGATAGAGCCGCAAGTCTCAACACTGTCTAGGAGAAGGTATGAAGGGAGGAAAAGAGATAAATGAAGCCACATTCACTCATGCCTCTTGGGTACTTGTTTAAGCCACGATTCAAAGAATACTTTTGTTGGAAATGCAGCCTCTTCATACCCGGTATTCCTGTTGGCTGCCTTGGGTTCACTCGTCCTCTGAGTCTGAAAATCAACAAAAGTGTGTAAGTCTTCAATAGTTCTTGTATTATATTTTTACGGCCACACTATAATAATAAACTCAGAGAAAAAAAATTGTTAAAAACATTAGTCCAGGGGAATAGTGTAATGCTTTTTTGCAGGGTACTCCCTATTTCACATAGAAAAGTGAAACTCACTAGAGTATTTTTTTGTTAGAATTTTCTTTATCACTGCCATTGAGGCCCTCAAGTCAAGCCTCGTTTATGGTGAGGCTGCTCGCTCTGGTGACGACATTGAAGGGAGAGTGTCTCCACGTTTGTTGGATTGACTCGATGGGAAACAGCGGAGCCCGTGACTTCAAAATGAATTGAGAGCTGCTCCAAGATTGCAGGAAAGTAGAAAATGACTGTGTACTCTGCAGTCTGACTCCACTGTGTAATTCACCATTACTGTGCATTGATTGTTTCTCAAGCTGCTTTGAAGCATTGTTTCACCTTCCCCCCTCCTGCTGTTTCCTATGGATGCTCTCTGGGAAAGAACAGGGACTCTCCCTGTCATCGCTGGTCCCCAAATGGGCTAGCACTATGCTAGGTTCAGTTCATGAGTTTCACTGCAAGCAATAAGCCATCTGCTTAATCTGTTAGTCACTGATAATAAAGAGCAAAAGAAACTTCGCATGAATCTGCTATAGAAAGAAATAGCTTGCATTTTTATTGCGTTAATCACGTTGAAGTGCCTCAGGAGGCATACCATCTATCAACTTCAAGGAAAGTTTCTTCTCTTAGAGTTTAGATTTTTTAAAAAGTATTTATTTTGTCTCCCGTAATCTCTGTAAAATAATATTCATCTGCTAGGATGCCCTGAGTGTGGAGTCGGTGGTAAGGTTTGTGAGGAATGGCTTCACTGCCATATTCTCTATTTAATCATTGTATGCGGGACTGAGTGTGACAGCGTTATTATAGTGCTCCAAGATGCCACCTGGGTGAAATGCGCTATATAAATGCAATTTGTTGTACACCTGTCCCTGGTTTCAAAACAAAACACTGTGATTTACCTTCTAACATCCTCTTTACTCTATCAAATGCAAGGATTGTTACTATTATTATTATTACTACTGGGAACAGATCATACCCAGCGAGATGCTAAATCATGCACCAGGAATACAAAAGCAGCAAAATAATGCCCAAATTGTTTGCTCAACAGTTTCTCAAATGTGGAGACATATTTTATACTATAGATTCAGTGTCTTCTCTGTACTCAATAAAACTTATTGGCTTCCAATAAGTGACAGGGCAAGCAACAACAACATCAAATTACATTTGTATAGGCCTTTCATGTCAGGAGGACGTCCCAAGGCACTGGACAGTCAGGGCTCCATGCCTGAGCTGGTGGTTGAGATCAGGAGGTATTTATATAGCACCCTTCATGTAGAGGGTAAAGTCTTGTAGTGCTTCACAGACATGCTGAGCAAAGGGAGGAGGAAGGGGAGGCCAAAAGAGGCGACCAAAAGAGGTATGTTCTTAGTTGGGATTTAGAGAGATGAAATGGAGGGATACAGGGAGGGAATTCTGAAGGGTGGACACACAGATTTTTGAAAGCTCAGCTACTTATGGTGCGGTTTAGGGGCAGGGGACACACAGTAGGCCCAAGTTAGCTAAGCAGAGGGAGCATAATATTGGGGAAGGAGAAGGTCACAGAGATAGAGAAGTATTAGGTCAAGGAGGGATTTATAAGTATGGGTGAAGACCTTGAAATCAATCCGCTGTGTCCCAGGAAGCCAATAGAGCTTAGTGAAGACTGGGGTGAGGGGCATGCAAAGTTTGGTGTGGGTGAGTATTTGGGCGATGGGGTTTTGAATGAGTTGGAGCTTATGGATGGTGGAACTAGTGAAGAGGACATTAGAAATGTTGAGTCAGGAGACAACAACGGTGTGAATGAAGGTTTCAGCAATGTTTTGTGAGAGATAAGGATAGAGGCAGGCAATGTAGTGAAGGTGAAGAAAAGCGGTCTTGGTCAGGGACTGAAAGTGAGGA